CCGAAAAGAAATAATACGAAAAAAAAAAAATACTTCGAAGCATTATTTTCCGCGTAATGGCACAACATCAAAAGCTTGGCCACGACGTTACCGCCGAACAACCGAACCCACTCACTGCAACACTTCTAACCCATCCTCTTCGACTTCTGCCATGGAACCATACAATATCATCTCGAACGGGTACACTAGTCTTTGCTTTGTAGACTATGCTTGAATATATGTTGCGTCCCCAAACCTGAAAAGTAAAAAACACCCAAAATAATAATAAAAAAAAAACACCCGAAACCCAACATTGTACCATCTCTGGGAGGAAAGAGAGCACATATTTTGTGAACATTTCTAAAAACCAAGCTAACTCCTACTTGTGAAACCGTTTGGCGGACTGAGTCCCTCTCTCCCTTACGTGCTCGACGTGATCCGCCATCTTGTCCCGCTCCGCCAGCTGCAACGCCTTGCCGAGGAGTTCTACTCCGGGCTTGATGCTGGGGCAGGCCAGGCAGACGATCCTCACAAGCGCGCTCGCCTTGAGCGAGAAGCGACAAAAAAAAAAGGACGACGCGTACGAAATGACACAATGGAAAAGTGAACAAATCACGAGGGTAAACATCACAAAGGGGCGATAACACTATTTGGTCTGATCTACCACACATTGCAATCTAGTACAAAACGGGCCCCCAGTTAATAAATAATGTCATATTCGGGCCGAACATCATTCTTTCGTGGACACAAAGGGACAAGTTACCTTAAAACTTCGTGTGGTACTTAATAATATTATCTTAGGGCAGCGAGAGAGAACGTGAGCGCACCTTGCGCAGCCAGCCGTCCTTGCTGTCCGCCACGATGCCTCCCCTAGCGACTACGGCGGCCGCGATGTGCGCCCCGCACAGCCCACGGTAAAGGACGTCGAAGTATTCGCCACGGGCCAAAGTGTCTTCGTAGGGTGAGTCCTTGAAGCGCCTGAGCTCGCTGAGCGCTGCCACCTAACAAGAAAATGATAGAAAAAAACAGGGGGGGGGGTTACGCAGAGTAGAGCACGCCGGGGAGATGGATTATAGTAAGTTAGATGATGTCAGCACGAGAAAACCGACCACGTTCTTTCTTGTTGTATAAGAGACGGGAAAAAAACATCAATAGTCTATATACGCCGTCGGCGGACGGCCGTAACGCGAACAGCGGCACACAGCCAAGCGCTAGGGCCTAGGGCCACCAGCACCACTAAAAGCACCAGTGAGACGACACCAGTACCGTCAACATCAAGATTATCATCCACCGCAGCAGCAACAAGAAGGGGCGACAACAAAAGCGATCCAAGAGAAACATCTCGTCACCACTACCGCAGCAGACAACAAACGACGCCCCTCTTACGGTAGTGACGGCACGCACCATGACAGACTCCATCTCGATAGACCTCTGTACCAGACGCTCCACGTTGGTCACCATGCCGGGGAACCAGACGGGATTCTTGCCGGTGACGGTCTGGAGGGTGTGGGCTACGGCCTCGTCCTTCCGAACTAGCCCCGAAACCTGCGTTGACAAATAACC